TTATTGCATCTTTAGCTGTGAAAATCTATTTGCATAATATCCAAAACCAAAGAGAGGAGAGCTCTAGCCAAGTAGAACGGCCTGTACGAACCAAGAGTCACATCATTTATTTTCAGTATATTTAGCTTTGATTTGCATTTATTTTAATCTAAGTAAAATGTAATATGCTGAGACAAATAAAACCATCTAGTACATCGGTGTTTGTGTTGTGTTTGATCCTGTTTCAGTGTGAGAGACCAAAGGAAAAATAAGAAAGGAGAGAAAGATGGAGACGGAAGGGAGACTCTGACTTTCAACATATCTTTACTTTAATAATGCGGCAGTGAGCTACAATAATGCATGTCTCCATAAAGTAAAAAAAAAAATGACACCAATGCATCATTCCCAACTCTAGCATGACAAAAAAACAAAAACTGAATGATCTTGTCACAGGGATTAACATCACTGCACCAGATGCTTCTATGATTGTATGTTATTTACTGTTTTCTTATATAAAATTGAGCTGTAACCTTGGAGTAATGGACACTTTCGGTTGAGTTTTTCCTGCATGAAAACAGAGAAGAAGACAATGAGAGGACGGAGATAGGAGTTGAGGGAGTTCACATTAGTTTTGATGTGCTGCCTTTGTAATGCATGCGTGAGTGAAAATCTGCAAGAGAGAGGAGGCAACTTGCAACAAACAGTCAAGGACAAGATTTAAAGTAATGACACTGAGTATTAAATTACATTTGATAAATAAAAAGATATCCGCAGGGGAAATGGGTTTCTGCAGAAGCAATGTTATGCTAGATACACAAGAGCAAAGCAAACAATAAAGGTTATTTATAGAACTTTCTTTTGGGGGGGGGGGAGGAGTCTGCTTTCAAAGGTGTTTAAAACAGTCCCAGCTGTCCTGTGTTCTACAGAAAATGTTTTTTTAAAAACTGTGTTCCCATCAACTAATTACCCTAATTAGAGAAAGTATTAAAATTGCCATTCTCATCCTATCACCATTTTAATCATAGACATAGTGTAGACTGTAAAACACCTCAACAAAACCTAAAGCCCCGGTCAGAGTTAACTGGTATCACGACAGTGGTCATTGTCTGGCTCTGAGCTTTGCACTCTGTGCGCGTTCACATCAAAGGAGCTGCGATCGCGGGCTACTGATTTCCTCACAGCCTCAGAGCTATGAGGAATACAAGTCATCACAACAAATTTCTGACAGCTGAACATTGCGCATCTGTTGACCTTTATCCATTTACAGTAAACAAATTCTTTTTTCTTGTTGAAAGATATTTTATATTGTTTTCATATTATTATTTCCTGACAGTGATTACAGAATGCGAGTGTGTGTTATATTGAAAGCGAGGCTGGGTGTGCCTATGAATATAAGCTACAGTGAGTTTTTTAAGGTGCTGTACAAGCAAATCATATTGTCTACTCTGTACAGTGACAAAGAGTGTACAGTAACCTACTTCATTCAATATTGAATAGGCTACTGTAGCCTACACTATAAACAAATGGTTTTGCTCTTTGCTCATGGCAGTTGTGACAGTCATTTTAACATGTCAGCAGGCAAGCTTCACTCATTCCAGGATGTATTATGCTTTGTCCTATAGCCTACTAGGAACATGTTTTGAAATGGATCTATAGTAGCCTATAGAAATTTGCTCATAACAGGCCGGCTGGAATACAAAGCAAACTCTCTCTCAAATGCACATTCATGGAAGTCTCGTATTGTCATCCCAGGACAAAACGCAAATAATGCTGTAATGTAATAATATACATCTTTAAGTGCACAAAAATGAGTCATTCAGAGAGTTATTAAATGTTTTTATTATTTAATTACACAGAAACCACATGGCTAAGTACAGCAATGTGAGGGTTTCATACATGTTGGTTGGATCGCTCTTCAGGAGGTGTCCTTACTCTAACAGTAGAGAATGCTTTCCTGAAATTAGTGAGTAAGTAGAGCATACTTTCCCTGGAAGTACAGACTAAAAAAGGGTCAGGGGAAAATCCTAGAGGAAACACTGCATATATTTTGGAGAGGGGGGTCGAGTATGTGTCGTGTAAGTGTAAACAGTGAGTTACTTTTATCTGAGGAGCACACGTCATAATTGTGAAGGGTTTTTCAGTTGAGCTTCACTGACTGCACAGTGTGCAAATTTGTTTCATTTTTATTTTATTTGGCAGGGACACAGTATTTTTTGTACCAGATCATGGCTAGAGAAGCTTAGTTATTTTTCTTATGTAGTCCCTGGGTGTGCCATTCACAATAACACACCACCTGTACAGTGAGAAACAATTGCCTGATGTGCTATTAAAAAAGTTGATTAAGAGTTGGGCCAACGAGCATGATTTGTGACAGCACAGTTTAGAAGCCAATCCTGGTCCAAGATTTAATGTTCAGAAGTGTGATGTGTAAACCTGAAGTGTACAATACAAATGCCTACGATTGACTATAGTGAAGTACATTAGGATGCATCTTGTGTTCGGCAGGTAAACTTAAGTGAACAATGTTTGTTCAAACAATGACACTGATGAAATGGATTCCAGATAAATTATCGTGTGGTTATTTGCTTTGCAGTGAATCGTGCAATAGAAATACTTTTTACTTTTAATAATACTTTTGAGTACATGTCAGAGCCTGTACTTTTTACTTTTACTTGAGTATGAATGTGCTAGCAGGATTACTGTGCTAATTAAACCTCACAAAATAATACTTAAATTCTTAATTAGCCATCTTTTTTAAATTGTTACACATGACACAAGCAATACAAATTTAATAATGTAATAAAACATCAGTCAAATTTAAATTTTGTCTGGAAGATGACACTCAGACTGTAGTTACTGCACTCTTGCTTTGCACTACCTACATATCTGTTTATGGTAATACACAGAAAAAGTGCACTCTGCACTTTTGGTGTCATAGGTCAAATAATTGATTATGATATTCAAGCCATAAAAATTACTTGGATAATACATATGTTATAAGCACATAACCACCATTCTACATAAAACACATTTGGCTGGCCAGTCAACAAACTTTAAAGCCAGTTTTCTCAGTTTCACTGTTAGCGTAGTTACTGCGGTTATGCTTTATAGGGCAGTGTAGTAGTAGAGCATATAATACAATAGGAGATGATATGAGTAGGAGCTGTTACACTGGACCTGCATTTACATCCTCAGTAATACCAGTACTGCAGTAACGCTAAATATATAAAGCTTCTTGGTGCTAATCAAGGTAACATCGCTCTGTCTTTACCTCCAGTGCTCGTCCACCACGTAAATTTACATACAGCAAAACACACAGACACACCTGAACAGAGGAGAACGGCCTTCAGCTACTGGAAGAGCTAACATTAACACATCAGTATAAAGTTTCACAAAAAGCAACATGAAAAACAATCACCAGCATCCATTTTTTTTGGCTTCTCACAAGGAGGTCACACAGCTTCTGACTGTCCCTCATATTACATCAGAAAGTCTGATATCGGCCCAGCCTGTGTGACTACGATGTTAGCCACATTAGCTGCACAGCATGTTAATGCCAAGTCCAGGCTAACCTACACAATAAACAGTAAAACAACATTAAATAGAATGTGAAAAAGTGTGAAGTTGGGTGACAGAGGCAAAGCTGCTCTTGTCCGTGGGAGGTGGTTGGTCAAAGCGGTGGTGGTGGTATGTAGGAAGGGGAGCAAAATCGAAATGGAGCGTTTGAGCTGAGGTCTGATATGTCCCCTTTAAGTTACAGCCGACAGCTAGTTGGTTGGCTTAGCTTAGTTTCTTAAATTGGCATATAAGACCAGAAACAGGAAGAAGCAAACCTGGATCTGAAATCTGACTGCTCATTCATTACAAAAACTGAAAGGTAATCAATTTATCAATTTATTATTTTATGGGAGGTCAGTGTTGCATGAATGTGCTAGAAGAGCAACATCCATTGAACAAGCTCATGTTTTTGGTGAACCCAGTTGAGTAAAACTCAATAAACTACTAAAATATCAGAGAGTATGAATTATTAAAAAAAAAGAAATGGTGCCAAGTGGATCTTATATTTTCACTTTCCAGCAGCCTTATCACAACAGCATACTTCCAAAGAGAAAGGGGAAGAAACAGTGAAAAGCTGGCTCAAACACAGTACAAAAAGTTATTAGAAATTTTTTGGCTGGTGCAGTCTCACAGTTCAGCCATAAGATCACAAGCAAAAAGCTGCAAACTTCCTCCACCCAAGGCAAACTCCAGCAGCACCATCCAGCACATACCCTCCCATGAAATTCCAAATTGACTATACAAATTATATAACACACTTAAGTGGAATTTGTAGTTTAGGGAGATGGTGGAGTGATAGGCTGCCACGTTAGCAGTGCCCCATGAGCAGTTTCTTGGGGTTAGGTTGCCTTGCTCAAGGGCAACTGGGCAGTGCATAGGATGTGAAACTGGCACCTCTCCAGCTACCAGTCCGCACTCCATATTGTGGTTTGTGGGACTTGAACCTCCGGTTCCCAAGCCAAGCCCCTATACACTGAGCTACTGCTGCTCCAATACATCTGAATAGCTCATTTGAACATATTTTTGCATTGAATCTTGATTTACTCTGTGCCTTTGTTCACCTTTCCCAGGTCTGTAACTTTTTTTCCAGACACCAAATTGTACCCATATGAGTGCTGCATGTGTGGATGTGTGTGTTTCAGCAAGCATTTTGTCACTATTTACAGTATATGGCAGAATTCTGTTATCATTCAAATGGCAGAATTTTGTTATTATTCAAATGGAAGAATTTTGTTATTATTCAAATGGAAGAATTTTGTTATTATTCAAATCACAAAACATAACCTTTGATGTTTGATGTCACTAGTGACATCACTGCATTCTATGAACAAGCTACAGAATGTAAAGCACTGAATCCTCCATTATACATTCAGTACTGTAGAGGACGTAAAGTGAAAATATACAACACCAAACAAATCGTACTTATTTTGTATGGTCTGAAAGAAAAAAACTAAAACATAAAAATGAGTACTCTGCGGCAACCTGTCACTCTGAGTGAACAGAACGCAGCCATCCACCATGATGATGATGACCTCCACAGGGTGAATGAGGACCTCCGTAAGAAACTTGAGGAGCTTAACGAAAAGGTCAAGCGTTCAAGAAACCTGACAAAAAGAGCACTCCAAATAGATAACGAGGTGTTTCATGCCGAAAATGAGAAACTCCACTATGATAATAACATCCTGCAAGGTGAAAATGAGGACCTTCGAAAACAGAACAAAGACTTGGGAATTGAAAAGAAGACCTTGAACCAAGCAATAGCAGAGTTGAAGCTAAAAAACAAGACGGAGAAAGAAACCATGGACCAGCAATATGATACTTTGCAAAAAGACTTTGAGCAGCTAGGTAAAACTTTGCAAGACCTGAAGTTGGTTCAATGCAACTATAGTGTATTGAAACAAGAAACCCAGTGTTTGGAAGAAAAAACAAAAGCTTTGCAACATCAGTTCAGAGTTATGCAAAGTGAGAAAGACATTATGAGGCAACAAAACCAGGATCTGCAAAGAGATTTTCAGATTTTGATGGACAATTATCATATAACAAAGCAGGAAAATGAGGCACTGGAACAAGAACTCCAGGAGGCCAAGAGAAACGTGTATGATAAACAAGGGCCCATGAGACAAATTAATGAGGGTCTTCAAGAAGAAGCTCAGGGGCTCAAAAATATTGAGGAAGACCTCAAATGCTTTGCATGCAACTGCAATGTAACAAGAGAGGAAAATATAATGATGAAAGAAAAACAAATATCCCTAGAAGAAGAAGTCCAGGAGCTTATCAGAATGTTGTGTGATGGAGAAGAGGCCATGAGAAAAAAGGATGAAGCTCTTCAAGAAGATGCTCTGAAGATCAAAAATGTTCTGCAAGAGCTAAAAGAATTTGAACACAACAATAACACAATTAAACAAGAAAATGTCTCTATGAGACAACTAAACAAGGACTTGGAAAGAAAACTCCAGGACCTTACCAAAGATTTGTGTGACGGAAAAGAGGCCATGAGACAAAAGGATGACCTTCTGCAAGATCAGGCTCCAGTCCTCAACAATATTATAGAAGAGCTCCAAGCCTCTGAACACAAAAATAATGTGATGAAACAAGAAAACGTATCTCTGACAGAGCAAATCAAGGCCCTAGAAGAAGAACTCCAAGACCTTACACAAAAGTTCCATGAAGGACAAGAGGCCATAGGACAAAAAAGTGAAGCTTTTCAAGTAGTCTTTGAAAAGAACTATAACATGAGCCAAGAAAACACAACCATGAGCCAAGAAAACACATCCATGAGAAAAGAAAACACATGCATGAGACAAGAAAATACATCCATGAGACAAGAAATCAAGGCACTGGAACAAGAACTTCAGGAGCTACAGAAAAGGTTGTGTGATGGAGAAGAGGCCATGAGACAAAAGGATGACTTCCTTCAAGATCAGGCTCTGGTCCTCAACAATATTATAGAAAAGCTCCAAGCCTCTGAACACAAAAATAACGTGAGGAAACAAGAAAACGTATCTCTGACAAAGCAAATCAAGGCCTTAGAAGAAGAAGACAACAAACAAAAGTTCCATGAAGGACAAGAGGCCATGGGACAAAATACTGAAGCTTTTCAAGAAGTCTTTGAAAAGAACTATAACATGAGCCAAGAAAACACATCCATGATACAAGAAAACACATCCATGAGACAAGAAATCAAGGCACTGGAACAAGAACTTCACAAGAGCAAGGACATGCTTAGAATAGAAAAAGGCTTGTTTGCTGGGGAGCAGCTCAAAGCATGTCAGAGGGAGGATGCACTTTATGATAAGTTGCAAATACTCCACATTCAGCTCAAGTTAAAGATGGAGGAAAATAAGGTCCTCGAGAGCAAAACTCAGTGTCTTAATCCGAGCCCTGAGGATCTGGCTCTTAGAATCCAGGATGAGGCCAAAACCACTGTAGCCCACAAGAGGTGGACAACACGTTGGCTTAGTCGCTTCATTTCCTAACTGATCAGGTTAGGGCCGAATCCTCCTCTGGTGGATCTGGATATCATCCACATACAGTATCTCACAAAAGTGAGTACACCCCTCACATTTCTGCAAATATTTCATTATATCTTTTTATGGGACAACACTGAAGAAACGACACTTTGATACAATGTAAAGTCGTCAGTGTACAGCTTGTATAACTGTAAATTGTTGAAAAATTGTGGCCATTTTAGTGTATGTAACCTTTTGTATGTACCTGATTTTTTTCTTCAAATCCTCAGTGGGTTGGGTAAGCTGTCAATAAATGCATTCCAGATGCAAAGAACACATGTGGTGACAACATCCAATGAAAAAAGAATAAGGCATTTTCTCACTTTTTTCCAATATTTTCATCTTTACTTCATTGGCAATCAACTATTCCCCCAAGTTATGACATCAGTCAATATGCCATTCTTTTCACCAAACAGTATACTCATTCCACAGAAAAAAATTTAAAAATCCAACCAAAATAAATGGATCTGTGATGATTTCACTACTAGTTGACGATCAACAGGCTCAGAACCTCAATAGAATTTTAGGCTACTCTCAAAATTCTGAAAGACATACTGGATATTTACCATGGTTGTTAATGTCCACATTATTAAATATCATGGCCTAGGCATCTTTTTAATTTCAACATAACCCTGTTCTCCCAATGGAAATGTGTCACACAAGAAACATAATACAGCAAAATGACTTTTATTATTTTATTGCCTCAGATGATAACTATTACAACTTTAACGGAACAAAATAATTTAACATAACTTAATTAACTAGGTGCAAGTCCCTGTGAGGTGGGATAATCAGGAGGGTGGGACACTACAGATACTGCTCTGAGGACAGACCTTCACCCTCACCACCTGAGGAGACAGCAAACAAGACCGGCAGGGTGGATTATACAGCACCTTCTCTCTCTCCCTAACACGCACACACACACACACACACACAAACACACACACAGCCTACTTACGTGTCCCTGTCTTCAAGTGCAAGTTCAATCCTTGAACATCTTTTGGGGTCCCCGGTGCAATCCTTGAACATCTTTTGGGGTCCCCGGTGCAGAGACATGCAATGCCACACTTCACATTGGCTCTTGCACAGGAGCATCCTCGGGCACACATGCTTTTCTTGCAGCGGCAGTATTTGCTGTGTTTGAGTTCAGATGGTTCTGCCTCTTTCAGCATCATGGTTGCCACCAATTTGCCATTGACAAGTTGTCTCCCAAAATCAGTGGCAGCTGGGTAGGTTGGCTGAACCATGTGTGCCCGCTTACACACAGCCAACCGGTGCAGGGCTCGGCGAAGGTGTAATAGGAAGGCATCTTCAGTTGGTGGAAGGCAACGCATGTCTCCTTTGATGCTCACAAAGAGATGGGCTCGCAGTGCATCTAGTCTACCACCAAAGTCACTCCTGTCATAAAGTGACACCATGTATTGCCGTGCTGCTGTTATAACCTCTTCCTGAACATCTAGGCTTTCCTCAGGGTCACCGTACCTGCACAGCGGCAGAATGTCTGTCAGGTGTTTAATAGCAGTTGTGTAGGCCCACATTTTTCCTCTTCCGTACAGCTAGCTCACTGTGTCACATCCGGTAAGTATGTAGGTGCTGAGTAGAAGAGATGTAAGATCTGAAGCTGCAACATCATACATCCCCGCCAGAGCTTCTGTGATGGCATGAACTGGTAGGAAGATATCCATCGTCTTCACCCACAGCTCCTGCTGCCCATCCATGCGTGTGATGTAGTACATGCACATCATGGTCACATCTGTGTCAATCGCAACCACTACAGCCCGTTTATGGTGCAGAGTTTGTACTGAGTATGCAATGTGAGCAAACATCCTGGTATCTGCCTCCTCATGTTTCTCACAGGAAAGTTCTGGAAGCTCAACCTGACAAGAGGACAGTGCGACCAGGATCACAAAAGATTCCACCAAGAATAAGTGTGCATCCTGCAGGAAGTGACTTGTTCTGAGCTGCCCATGCTTCCCCCATGTAGTTCAACAGATTAGCTTTATTCAGTGGATTGTGAATGAAGCCTTTCCATTCAGGTATAGGGAGAGTACCATGTGGCTTGTACTCCTTCATTTTGCTTCATCCTCTTCTCTCGTTCCTCACCTTTCAGACTTTCAGCAGGGGAGAAATCATATCGATCACCAACAAAGTGAATGCAGTCACACTTGTCTGGGAGGTTTCCAAGGAGCTGCCTCAGGTACTTTCCTTGCAGTTCATGGAAGGTGCTGCTCCCAAGATGTTGGTAACGTTGAATGAATGCCATGGCATCTAATACCATTACAACAGGCTTGTCAGATGACGGTAGTTTGTCCACTTCCCCCATGAGCTGCCAAGGGCTGTCTTGATTGCAGCCAGGTAGTCTGCCTTGCTTCCTTTACGCATTGGGTAACTTTGATCAAGGGACGGATCTGGCTCAAACAGGGAGGCTGGGCAACTTGTCCATTCATGGCCAAATACTTCCACCTTCCTGTCTTCCTCTAAGTCCTGAACAAAGTACAGGTTCCGCACAACTGCACTCTCCTCCTCATAGACCTTTTTGGCTTTGAATGCCATGGACATTGACTTCTTTGGCTTTGCTGCAATGGTTGAAAGTTTAATTTGGGCTACATTATCACTGTCTGTTCTTCTTGCTGCAGCCAGTGCCTCCAGTCCTTTTTCACGAGCGCAGATCAAGTTAGCAGATGTGGCTTTGTGGACTGTTGAAATGTAACCCTTTCAACCTTTGCAGCAAAGCCAAAGAAGTCAATGTCCATGGCATTCAAAGTCAAAAAGGTCTATGAGGGGGAGAGTGCAGTTGTGCGGAACCTGTACTTTGTTCAGGACTTAGAGGAAGACAGGAAGGTGGAAGTGTTTGGCCATGAATGGACAAGTAGCCTCCCTGTTTGAGCCAGATCCGTCCCTTGAACAAAGTTATGCAATGCGTAAAGGAAACAAGGCAGAGCACCTGGCTGCAATCAAGACAGCCCTTGCCAGCTCATGGGGGGAAGTGGACAAACTACCGCCATCTGACAAGCCTGTTGTAATGGTAGTAGATGCCATGGCATTCATTCAACGTTACCAACATCTTGGGAGCAGCACCTTCCATGAACTGCAAGGAAAGTACCTGAGGCAGCTCCTTGGAAACCTCCCAGACAAGTGTGACTGCATTCACTTTGTTGGTGATCGATATGATTTCTCCCCTGCTGAAAGTCTGAAAGGTGAGGAACGAGAGAAGAGGATGAAGCAAAATGAAGGAGAACAAGCCACATGGTACTCTCCCTATACCTGAATGGAAAGGCTTCATTCACAATCCACTGAATAAAGCTAATCTGTTGAACTACATGGGGGAAGCATGGGCAGCTCAGAACAAGTCACTTCCTGCAGGATGCACACTTATTCTTGGTGGAATCTTTTGTGATCCTGGTCGCACTGTCCTCTTGTCAGGTTGAGCTTCCAGAACTTTCCTGTGAGAAACATGAGGAGGCAAATACCAGGATGTTTGCTCACATTGCATACTCAGTACAAATTCTGCACCATAAACGGGCTGTAGTGGTTGCGACTGACACAGATGTGATCATGATGTGCATGTACTACATCACACACATGGATGGGCAGCAGGAGCTGTGGGTGAAGACGATGGATATCTTCCTACCAGTTTATGCCATCACAGCAGCTCTGGCGGGGATGTATGATGTTGCAGCTTCAGATCTTACATCTCTTCTCCTCAGCACCTACATACTTACCGGATGTGTCACAGTGACCTAGCTGTACAGAAGAGGAAAAATGTGGGCCTACACAACTGCTATTAAACACCTGACAGACATTCTGCCGCCGTGCAGGTATGGTGACCCTGAGGAAAGCCTAGATGTTCAGGAAGAGGTTATAACAGCAGCACGGCAATACATGGTGTCACTTTATGACAGGAGTGACTTTGGTGGTACTCTAGATGCACTGCGCGCCCATCTCTTTGTGAGCATCAAAGGAGACATGCGTTGCCTTCCACCAACTGAAGATGCCTTCCTATTACACCTTCGCCAAGCCCTGCAGCGGTTGGCTGTGTGTAAGCGGGCACACATGGTTCAGCCAACCTACCCAGCTGCCACTGATTTTGGGAGACAACTTGTCAATGGCAAATTGGTGGCAACCATGATGCTGAAAGAGGCAGAACCATCTGAACTCAAACACAGCAAATACTGCCGCTGCAAGAAAAGCATGTGTGCCTGAGGATGCTCCTGTGCAAGAGCCAATGTGAAGTGTGGCATTGCATGTCCCTGCACCGGGGACCCCAAAAGATGGTCAAGGATTTGCTCTATTATGTTTCTTGTGTGACACATTTCCATTGGGAGAACAGGGTTATGTTGAAATTAAAAAGCGCCTAGGCCATGATATTTAATAATGTGGACATTAACAACCATGTTAAATATCCAGTATGTCTTTCAGAATTTTGAGAGTAGCTTAAAATTCTATTGAGGTTCTGAGCCTGTTGATCGCCAACTAGTAGTGAAATCATCACAGAGCCATTTATTTTGGTTGGATTTTTATATTTTTTTCTGTGGAATGAGTATACTGTTTGGTGAAAAGAATGACATATTGACTGATGTCATAACTTGGGGGAATTGTTGATTGCCAATGAAGTAAAGATGAAAATATTGGAAGAAAGTGAGAAAACGCCTAATTTTGTTTTGCATTAAATTGAGCCAAAATCATGTAGAAATGTGTTTTAAGAGTTATTTTTTCATTGGATGTTGTCACCACATGTGTTCTGTGCATCTGGGATGCATTTATTGACAGCTTACCCAACTCACTGAGGATTTGAGGAAAAAAAACATTTTCACATTTTTTGGAAAAAAAATGAAGGGTAGATACATTAAAGTGGTCACAATTTTTTTTCGCAAAGTTTTCGGCAGAGCAGACCATCCAATTATTGGTCCTTAGGGTCAAAGTTAACAGAAAAAATACAAATAAAAAGTATGGCAGACCATTTAACACACCTACTCCCCATTCACACCTGAGATCTTGTAACACCAAC